CCCCCCCCCAACAAAAAACCAGAATAACACATATGCAAAAATTAAATCTTTATGTGCTAATTATGTGCTCTATTCATGATTTTTGTGCTCGAGCGGTTTTGCGGGAAATCGCAATTGAAAGTGGGAACGCTGGCTTAACGTAAGCTAGCACCTCTACTCATTAAAATTACATATAAAATAAAAAACTCAATATATTAGAATTATGTGCTTTTTATGTGCTTTCATTCAAATGCCTCAAACAAAATTAGTCTACCTGTAATACTTTAAAAACTATAAGCCAAAAAATATCTATACACTAGGTATTGATATAAGAGTAAAATGTCAGTTAAAATACAGAAAGTGAAATAATTTTTATCTTAAAATGTTTCTCGAGTAATGTGCTCTCAAAATATGCACAATAAAATTTTCGTGCTTATCCCCTTCAGCCGACCCAAACGTGAGTACCCCATACGTGCAAGAATAAAGTACCAATTAAAATACAGATAGCGAATTGATTTTAGTCTTAAAGTGTTCTTCAATTTATGTGCTTTCAAAATATGCACAATGAGATATTTGTGCTCATCCCCTTCGGTCGACCCGAACGTGAACACCCATACGTACAAGAGTAAAGTACCATTTTGGCGCTGCTAGACCTCGAAATTTAATAAAATACTAAATTTTTTTATTAAATAAAAAAACAATAAATAGGGAATATATAGGGTAGAGCGGGGTCAAAAGTAACGCGGGGCAAAAGTAACAACTCAAATATCTATAGGCATAGATGCGCATACGTTTGTTGGTTAACGGATAAAGCTGAACAAGCTATAACGTGTCTCAGAACGCCTGCGGCCTGGGTATTGAGTGGACGTGTATAATAAATAAAATATGTTGTTGAGGCCGTAAAGTAATTTTGGAGGCCAGTCTTAAACTTTTAATATAATATATATTCACTGCAAAAGTAAGTACTTTTTCTTTTAGGTTATATTTGAGCTTCGTTATTTTTGCTTATTATAATAATTATTACTTATTCATTTTTGGCATTTTATTATTAAAAATTTTAAGTCAAAGTTTAAAAACATATTCGGGACGATTGTAACATCATTGTGTGGGGTCGAATAAAACGTTACAAATCGACTGCCTAGTCCTTAGAAACATTGTGTTCCTATAATTTAAAGATATAAGAAAAAAAATGTTTATAATTAAATAAACAAAGTTAATGTTTTCTATAATTGATATAATGTAGTGGCGCGTCTAGGTTCTTCGTTGCTATTCGATGGTTGATAGAGAGAGGGATCGGCAAGTTGGCCATTGAATGTATAGCGTCTAAGCATATCACAGTAATAGCGTGCATTTATTAGATTAAGAATATTGTATAAGCGATAATAAAGGTACAAGGTAACCAGTAATAATCCAGAGCCTACAATATACTCGACCATCCGATCACAACAATTGGCGACAAGGTAAATTGAGAAAAGGAAAAAAACATGATCGAACTCGCTACCAGCATGGACGCTAACTAATTTGCACAATTATTATCGGCGTTTAATAGTCATCAACAAAACCTGGTTTCTCAGTTATCACAGAATTTTCAGCAACAAAATGAGTCAACTAACCTCAGTCCGATCCTCAGTAATATTCCACCGTTTGTTTGACCAAACGAAAGAGAAAGTTAAATGTTACCTAGAAAGATTCGAGAATTATCTTGTAATGAAAAACATCGTAGATGATCAGAAAAAAGCCCAATTGCTATGCGTCTCAATTGGCTCAACTTTCTATAATAACCTCTCAGCACTTTTAGGCCCGGACAAGCCGGTCAAAGACTTAACCTATAATCAGTTAAAGAAATATCTTCAGGAAATGCTTTCGCCGCACAGAAGTGTAGTTGTCTCGCAACACTATTTTCTCAGCACGTATCAGAAAGAAGACCAAACTATTCCAGAATTTGTGGCTGCACTACAAAGCAACGTGACCGAATGCAATTTTAATGTTATCTGCGAGTGCAATAAAGTTGTCTCTGTTGCTAATCTGTTTCTCAGGGCACAATTTATTAGAGGTCTTAAAGACAGCTGGATTAAGGAACAACTTCTACAGGCCAACGTTACTGAATTTCCAGAAATATTAAGCAAGGCAATTGCGTTAGAAGCCTCCAGACTTGAAACTCAAGCTCTTTCAAAACAACAGCTTGCAACGGGATATGACACGGCGTCGGATATAAACAAAGTCTCTTCCCAGAATAGATCCAGACGTGAACAACATCAAAATCGTACTAGGGTACGATCAAAAACTCCAAATTATAGATATCGCTCTTATTCCAGACCAAAATTGAAATCCAGGATTGATTTTAATGCACTGGGAATTGCCGGATTATGTCTCAGGTGTGGTAAGAATAATCACAATATAGGTGAGTGTCAGACTAATCGAAATAAACTCAAATGTAATTATTGTCAAAAAACGGGTCATATTGCCAAAGTATGTATTACGACTCTATTAAACAAAAAATCTTGTAAAAAACAATCTAATTTGAATTTTAATGCAAACAGCAGTGAAGACTCGACAAAGTACGTTCATGATTTAAATGAAAATATGGTTTTTGGCATTAATAAAATTTTTGTTGATTTTATAGGTAATAAGCAAGATTGTAAAATTATTGATATATATGACAGTCCAGCCGAACAAGTCTCAACGATTGACTTACAAAAATATTTTGTCACTGTACTTTTAAATGGTAAACCAGCAGTATTTGAAGTAGATTCCGGGGCTGGTTTTACTTTATTGCCGGAAGATAAATTCCAGAAATTAAATCTTGATGTATCTTTAACGCCTACAAAAATATATTTTCGAGCTTATACTAATAATGTGTTTATTCCTAAAGACCATAAAAACCAGGAAGACCATAATTCAATTGTACCAAAAGGTCGTCCCGCTATTTTAGGTTGCATTTAGATACGCCATTTAGAAATAAACCTCGAAGATATAGACAAGGACATGCAGACTAACTCGCGGATCTCTACTCCTGAATCAATTCATTCGATTAATGATCTTTTTACGCGGTATTCTAAAGTTTTTGAACAAAAGATAGGTTGTATTCCAAATCACACAGTCTCCCTGAAATTACGTGAAAAAGCTACACCGGTATATACTAAAGAACGTAATGTACCCTTTGTTCTGCGCGAACGAGTTGAAAAAGAGCTCGATAGTTTAGAAAAAGCAGGAATTATTTCAAAAGTAGATGCTAGTGACTGGGGAGTGGGGATCACTTTTCGTTGTAATTCCGAAAAAAGATGGTGGCGTACGGCTTTGTATCAATTATAAAGGAAAGGTCAATTAATGCCTTGTAACTTCGAAGCATCCGGAGTGTTCCTGACGCCCTCAACAGTTTACGTAATTTTAAATATTTTTGTAGACATATACAAAGCATATTAACA